TCTCTATTGCATTTTAAAGGTTTCAAGGAAAGGCCTGTGTATTTGGTTTGTGTGGCAAGGTTTTGGTAGCGGGGGGGCTACAGGGGTCGCTTCTGTGAGAAGCTGCCAGAAGCTTCCCCTGTGTCCCACAGAGCCAGTGCCAGACGGCTCCAGGATGGACCCACTGCTGGCCAAGGCTGAGCCCATCAGCGATGGTGGTAACGGAGTGAAGAAGCGGGAGGGAGCTGTGCATTTTACAGCCGAAGAGAAGAGTGACAACATGTGAAAGCAACAGCTCTGCAGACACCCAGGTCAGTGAAGAAGGAGGGGGAGGAGATGTTCCAGGTGCCGGCGCAGAGATTCACCCTGCAGCCTGTGGGGAAGCCCATGGTGAGGCCGGCTGTGCCCCTGCAGCCCAGGGAGGACCCCACGCTGGACAGGAGGATGCCCAAAGGAGGCTGTGACCCCATGGGAAGCCCATGCTCCTGGCAGGACCTGTGGACTCACGCTGGAGTAGTCTGTTCCTGAAGGACTGCATCCCAGCGGAAGGGCTCGCACTGGAGAAGTTCGTGGAGAACTGTCTCCCATGGGAAGGACCACACGCTGGAGCAGGGGAAGAGTGTGAGGAGTCCTCCCCCTGAGGAGGAAGGAGCAGCAGAAATGCATGATGAACTGACCACAACCCCCATTCTGCCATCCCCCTGTGCTGCTGTGGGCAGGAGGTAGAGAAAAGCGAGAGTGAAGTTGAGCCTGGGAAGAAGGGAGGGGTGGGGGGAAGGCATTTTTAAGATTTCGTTTTATTTCTCATTATCCTACTCTAATTTGACAGGTAATAAGTTAAATTAATTTTTCCCCAAGTCAAGTCTGTTTTGCCCATGACTGTAATTGGTGAGTGATCTCTCCCTGTCCTTCTCTTGGCCCACAAGCCTTTTGTTATATTTTCCATCCTCCGTCCAGCTGAGGAGGGGAGTGATAAAGCAGCTTTGGTGGGCACCTGGCATTCAGCCAGGGTCAACCCCCCCTGCCCCGAGCCTGAAGCAGTCTTGGCGGCACTGCTACGGAACAGATCCCTTCCCTCTTGGCATCCTTGTATGTAATGCTCAGTGTGGCACTGGGACATCAAGGAGGATGCACTAAGCCCATGAACAAGCCTTGGGGAAGAGTGAGACGTGGCACCATCTTCAGGCAGCTCTCAACAGGTTATAGCACCAATTGCATACATTTCAGGTACAAGAAATACCTCTGGAAAGTAATTTAAGAAGTATCTGCTAGCAGCAGTGCTCAGCTTGGAGCTGCTAATAAGCTGGAGATGAAAAATCTCCACAGGCTAAGCTGTCATGGCACTGTAGGTAATTCTATGAAAAAAGTTTTAATGAACAAGAAATAAGAAGTGGTATATAAGAAAAATGCAAAAAGTCAATTTAACCTTTTTTTTCCTCTCAAGCCCTATAGCACTCCCTTCAGTGAGGGGGATCCGATTCCATTTGCAAGCCTGTTCTAGCCAGAAACAACTTGTCTCTGTGCACGTGTTGCTATCTAGGCAGCTACGTAACACACAGCCTGGCGTGGCTGCCCAGCCACTCCTTCGCACAGGGCAACTCCTCATTCAACTGCACGTTCAGCCTTGAACAGCTTCAGTTGCGCCCAGGCCCGTGGGGCTGCAGCTCTCTGCTGTACATGGGCCGCGCTGCTGTGCAGGCACGCTTCTTGTACGGGCGCTCCCAGGGAGGAACGCGAAGGAACTAGCCAAATAAGACTGCTTAATTCCTGGAGCTCCCAGAGCTGTTTCCTTTTCTCAGAGCACACTTGCTGATGGGAGAAAGGCAGACAAGCACCTGCCAAGCTTCCAGCTACTGAGCTCCACCAACAAGATATTATGGACTCTCGCCTGGGATTCTGCAATTAAGGGCCAGCGCAAAGCATGCAAGTCAGGATACCCCTCCCCCTCCTAGCATGACACAACTCCAGAAATTTGCTCTTAGGCTAAAACGAACAATATCCTTGTCCAACCAGTGGTGCCAGGATATGAGCCAGAATCCTCATTAGTGAAGCCTCTGTTCCAGCTCCTACCAAACCTCCATGTTTGCAATGCAGTAGCTACTTCTATTAGGCATACTGAGGTTCATATACATTTCAAAGCAAGAGGAAAATAGATACACTACATGATCTGCGCTTCCTCAGTGTGCAAGCCACTCCATTTTGTTTGGGAATTTCTGTTCAGGAAGAACAGAGTAAATTCTTCCTCCTATTACCCACTGAAATGATGCCAGCAGTATCTGGCCCAACCCATAGCCCTTTGATTTTATTATAAAAGTAACTCTGACTGCGGGCTCCCTACAAATCCCAGTGGCAATAATGCATTTTAACTGACCTGGAGCAAGTGGCAGAGGGTAAATAAAGCAAGTCACAGAGCAGGCAGCAAACCTCAGGACTACTGACAGTGTCCCTCTCTAGTCCAGATTCCATCCACTTGACACAGCTCTTGCTATTCTACTAACAGAGCACAGCCTCTGCTTTCCTTCACCATGTTCTCATACACAGTTGTGCTGTATTTCTCCCTTTCAGTATTAAAATTCCATTAATTTTTTTGTTTTGTTTTGTTTTTTGTTTAAACTGGCATGTGGCAGAACAACAGACTCCACGATCTCAGGTAGAAAAGAAGCCCAACTTACCGTACTTGATGGTAATAGAGCATGAAGGTATTTTGTTACTTTACTACCCGAGTTTCAAAAATTACCTTGACAGCAGTGAAGACAACAATAGTCTGACGAAGGAAAAAGCACAATGTCTCACAGTGCACTACACAAAATATGTGAAAAGCAAGCTACCCCATGGTTAGGAATTCAGGTCTCTTACCATCTCCATTATGAGGTGTCCACAAACAAAGCACTTGTCCGCTGTTTGCTGAAAACCTGAATACTGTTCAAATGACAGAAAAGAAAGGATTGTTAGTAGACACTCCTCTAGCTGCAGAAATACCTTTTAAGTGAACGCTGCACTATTTTCCAGCCTGTGCTGCCTATGTTAGCAAACTACATGATAGCTTTAGGAGACGGTGACTCAGAAGCCTTCGCTCTGCTCTTGCAGCATGCTCAGATACCAGCTTGGCCTTCTCAGCCACTGCAAGTTTTACATTGAAATTTCCAGCGTAACAATATTATTTTAAGTTTGATTTTTATTTTTGAAGCCTATTTGGCAAGTTTGCATTTGGTGTGCTGGAATTAGCTTGAATTAACTCTTTTGGTGGTGGTGGTTGTTGTTCAAGTAAAATAATATAGGACTTACCTCCCAGCTCCTGCTCAGATTAGTGACTAGAGGCTTACTGACCTCAGATTTTGGACCCACGTTTCACTCAGTGCTATATGCAGGCTAGAAAAATGGAGACAGGCCCAAGGAGGATTTAGGTGCCGTGTGGATACCCAGCTTTTTATCCAGGGAAGAATCTAGGAGTCCAGTTGTAGGAGCTTGGGCTCCCTGTACAACGTGAGCCACAGTAAGGTACCTCAGAAAGATGATACCAAACCCCAACCCTCAGCCCACGCTCCAGCCTGCAGTGGGAAACAGGAAGGCTGGGCAGGCCTGGCAGCCAGCCCTCTCAGGTTCGGTGCAGGGGCACAGCAGCAGGGAGATACTTTGCATTCTTGGGACCAAAGCTCTGTGTTCCCTGCCTGAGTGTTTTTGACCTTAACTTAGTACTTGCGTCCCCAAAGCAGATCCTGTTTCAGATGCCAAAGCCTGTCTTTAGCCCAGTATTTAAAGGTATCAAGGTTATCAGGCCAGATGACTGACCTACCAAACAACTACCCTACAGGCAAGAGGCATTTGCCTGAAGAACTCCAGCCATGTAATTTTGAAACCGGTATTTGCAGTGGCTGAACTTTACCCTCTTATATGGGACACTGCAGTCCCATATAAGCAA